AGCAGTTCTAAGGAATGACCAATACAATTGGCAACTGAGGACGTGGCTAAGGGTAACGAAGTTTGACAGACTGCAACCAGGCCACAGTGGAGGAGGGAGTGAAGGGTAAAGCCGTGTCCAGAGGCAGCTGCTTAAATTCTTTGAGCCTTCACTTCCTCATCTGTAATGTGGAGACAAAGCAAAACAACATAAAGCATTTAGCACATAGCCCAACACAAATTAAATCCTCTAAAAATATTAGTTACTGAAGAGAGTCTGGTCAACAAGTTTCTCTGTTGAACATTACAGTGAAACTTTCAGTTAGGTGAGAAAATTCCTAACTGAAAAAGATTTGCACATGGGAAGAAACAATAGGTTTCCTTCACCCCGTTCCTCTGCACAGATTTTTGTAACAAGTAATTAATTAATTAATAATAAATTGGGGACCAGGAGGTGGTGTGGTGGTTAAGGCACATGGCCAACAATGACTTAAGTCCCAGACCTGGCAGCTTAAAAATCACTCCAGGTGCATGTGGATGTGTACCCAAAAATCTCAGGAGGTGAGTGAAGGAGCAAGGATTGTGGTACGGCCATTCCCCCCTTGGGGGGTGATTTTACACTTTCCCTCTGTCTCTTTCCAGCAACCACACACACTCTATGGGGGGGGGGGACTGTAATTAATTAATTAATTAATTAAAACTCTACTGTTGATCCTTTAGATTCCTTGCACTTAGAATAAATCTAAAGTCCTCACCATGATCCCAACAACCAGATGTGATCTAGCCCCTGCCTACCTCTCTTTCCCATGTTCGCAGTACCAGCCTACCCATCCCAGGTGCTTCCCAGGTATTGTACTGCCCCTGAGAGCATCCCTACAGTCTTTGCTAAAATGTTACCTCCACCGGGAAGTCATCCCGATAAAATCTAAAGTATTTTCTATCTCATTGCCTTGTATCTTTGTTCATTCTTTGCTGCTCAAATGAAATACTGCATACTGGGTTATTAATAAAGAACAGGTGGGTTTTTTTGTTTTTTTTTCTCATGGTTCTGTGGCTGAGAAGAGCAAACCAAGGTGCTGGCAGGTTCAGTTATCTGGTGAGGGCTGCTCTCTGCTTCCAAGATAATATCCCGTTGCTGCATCCTCCAGAAGGGAAGAATGCAGTGCTCTCACGGGGTGGAATGTGTCAGTGCAAGTGAACCCACTTCTTTTTTGAGACTTCTTTCAGATAAGCTTTAATCTCGTTCTTAATGGGAGAAGTCCTTATCACCTAATCACCTTTTTAAAAACATATATATTTTAACTTTATTTATTACTTATTATATTCCAATTTGACCTGAGAGAGTCAGAAAGAGAGAGGGAGGGAAAGTGAGAAAGGAAGCCATCAGGACCAGGACTTGAACTATGGCTGGCCATGTGGGAGTCCAGCGCCCTTAACCACCACACCACCTACTGGTCCCACCTAATCACCTTTTAAAGGCTCCACCTCTTGGGGCCAGCAGGTGGTGAGATGGCTAAATCACTGGACTCCCACATGGCTGTCCGTGGTTTGAGTCCCAGATTCGGTAGCTTGAAAATCATGCCAGGGACCAGCAGTTAGCTTAATATCTATGTCGCTGGACTCCCACGTAGTCGACCGTGGTTCACAACCCGGACCCGGTGGCTTAAACTCACGCCGGGTGCGTGTGCATGCGTGCCCAAGATCCCGAGAAGAGAATGGAGGAGAAGGGATTGCGGTGTGGCCATCCCCCCTGGGGGGTGATTTCTCGCTTTCTGTCTGTCTCTCTGTCTGTCTGGTGAGCACACCTGCCCTATAGCAAAAACCTCTCAAAAAAAAAAAAAAAAAATCTTGTCACCTTACAGTGGGCAGTTTCTCAGAAAAATTAGCTGAACTGAGAGATAACAGTCTATTTCTAAAGTGGACAGTTAACACCCCACAAAAGTTTATTTGTCTTATAGACTATGAAATATTTCAAGAGTTCATCAAACACTAATTTAAAGAAAAATTCTAAAAGTCTACAGATCATGGGGGAAAAGCAGAGTAAGTTTGTATTTACATAGTCAATGTCTTTGATTTAAAATTCAAATGACAGACAGACACACACATACACATACTGACTTAAAACACAAGGACTAGGTACAGTCCAAGTATAAAAAAATATAAATAATTTCATTTTTTAAAAATTTTAATGAGGTTTTTGTCATAGGACAAGTGTGCTCGCCAAAGAGACACAGACAGTGAGAGGGAAAGTAAGAAATAACCCTCCCAGGGAGGTGACCTTCTCCTCCTGAGATCATGGGCATGTATGTACATGTGCCCACATGATTTTGAAGACACTAGATCTGTCTCTCTCTGTCTGTCTGGCGAGCACACGCACCCTATAGTGAAAACCTCTCCAGAAAAAAAAAAAAGAAAATCATGCCAGATGCATGTACATGCATGCCCAAAATCCCAAGAGAAGTGGCCATTCTCTCAGAGTAATGATTTCTCAGTTTCTATCTATCTGTCTCTCTACACACACACACACACACACACACACACACACCCTATGGCAAAAAGCATAAAAGGCCCCACCTGTTAATACTATCACATTGACCATTAAGTTTCAGCATCTGAATTTCAGAACAAACACATTCAAATCATAACATCTTGTTTATACCACTTAATCATAATCCACTTATTTATTCCTTTATACTCTGTTGTCTCCCACTAGAATGTCAGTCCATATGAATAGGAACATTGTCCTTCTGCCTTTATATTCTTCTAGCACCTAGAATAGTGTTTGTCACATAGTAGGTACTCAATAAACATTTGCTGAATGATTGAATTCTTCATCCTTTTGTTTCCACAAATTCTTTTCCATTTCTCCCTTTTCCTGACTTACATCTTCTCTAAACTGATGTAAAACATCCTGAATCTTTCAAAAAAATTTTTTTCCAGCTGCCACTGAAGAGACATTACAAACAAGCAGTGCAAAAAAAAAAAAAAGAACACATACCTGTTCTTTATTAATAAAGAACAGCTGCCTACCCTGTTTTTTATAGGAAACTTCCCTGGAGGCAGGACTTTAGGGAGGATGGGAGGATGTTGTGCACTCCTTGGCAGCAGTGATAATAGAAACAGAATTCTCCAAAGCACATCAGAAGAGGGGACAGCCAGAGGAGTTATGCTAAGGTCCAGAGCAGTAGCTGAGGGGATGGTGGTAGCTGACAAAGGTTCACCAAAGCCCTCCTAGATCACACCTCTCATACTGTCTCACCTACCCTCCTCAAGGCTGCTGCACATGGGGGCCTTGTTGAAGTAGCATTTATTAAAGACTTACTGTAGGGGTTACATTGCTGAATTCCCATGTAGCTGACCACGGGGTTCAAGTCTTGACCTGCTGGCTTAAAACTCACGCAAGGCGCATATGCGTGTGTGCCCAAAATCCCAAGAGGAGAATGGAAAAGAAGGGATTGCAGCAGGCTCATCCCCCCAGGGGGGTGATTTCTTGCTTTCTGTTTCTGTCACTCTCTCTCCAATGAGTGCACACGCCCTGTAGCAAAAATTTCTCTCTTAAAAAAAAATCAAAAAGACTTACTATAGGAATCATAATAAAGACTTTAAATACATTATTTCATTTAATCCTCTCAATAACCATTTTGACATAGGTGTGTGTGTATGTTAGTTTTTCTGGAGTTGTCATAGCAAACTACCATAAACTTGGTGGCTTGAAATAACACAAATTTATCCTTTTACAATTCCATAAGTATGATATCCAATACAGGTCTCACTGGGACAAAACTAAGGTGTCAGCAGGGCTGGAGTCCCTTCAAGAGGCTCTGAGAAAGAATCTGTCCCCTTGCTTTTCCTAGCTTGTAAAGGCTACCCATATGCCTTGGCTTCCTTGATCTTTAAAGTCAGCAATGGCTTAGGAACCCATGTACTCAGAGTTGGCCCATTTGGATAATCCAGGCTAATCACCTCATCTTGAGGTCTTTTCTTTTTTTTTTTTAAGGTTGAAGGATTTATTTATTATTTTAATTTTTAAAAATTTTTTGGAGAGGTTTTTGCTATAGGGCACGTGCGCTTGCCAGACAGACAGAGAGAGACAGAGAGACAGAAAGCGAGAAATCACCCCCTAAAGGGGATGGCCACACTGCAATCCCTTCTCCATTCTCCTCTCAGGATCTTGGGCACACACGCACACGTGCCCAGCATGAGTTTTAAGCCACCGGGTCCAGGATGTGAACTGCGGTCGACTATATGGGAGTCCAGCGACATAGCCATTATGCTAACTGCTGGCCCCTATTTTTAAATTTTTTTTATTTGCTAAAGGGCATGTGCACTTGCTGAAGAGAAACAGAAAGAAGGTAAGAAAGTATCTCCCCACAGCTGATGGTCCTACTACAATCTCTTCTCTGTTTCTCCCTTTGGGATTTTGGGCATGAACACACATGTGCCTGGTGTGTCTTTCAAGTCACAGAGTCTGGGATTCAAACCATGTAGTCAGTCACATGGAACCTGGTCACTTAACTATCACACCATTAGCTGACCCTTAAAGTCTTTCATTTTAATCACGTTTGCAAAATCCTTTTAACCTTATAAGGTAACATCTTTGCAGATTCCATGAGGCCATTATTCTGCCCACCACAGAGGTATGTTATCCTATTTTATAGATGAGAAAATGGACACTTTGGAGAGGTAATAAGTTTGTCTTAACAAGTCTGCCTAAACCTACATGGCCAGCTAATGGTAATGCCAGGACAGGCGCCCAGCTCTGTCTGACTCCAGAGCATGTGCGCTTTATCTCTCAGCTGCAACCGTCTAGTCTGAGTCTCCCCATCCCCTGTCAGAGATGCTGCAGTGGCTGCCTTGCAGAAAACATGTCCTTCTTTCTCACAGGGCCTTCCCCTAATGTACTATTTTCTAGGGCTACCAAAACAAAATACCATTAAAAAAAAAAAAAAAAGGCGACTCGAACAACAATAACTTGCTTATTCACAGTCCTGGAGGCAGGAAGTTCAAAGTCAAGGTACCCACAAGGTTGATTTCCTCTGAAGCCTCTCTGCTTGCTTGCAAATGGCTGCACTTCGCCTGCCTCTTCACGTAGTTCTGTGCACACATGCCCTGTGCCTAAGGTTCTTTTTCCTACAGGGACACAAATCAGATTGGGTTAGGGTCCACCCTCACAGTCTCATTCTAGCTCAACCATCTCCTTAAAAGGCCTCTCTCCAAATGCAATAACATTCTGAGGTACTGGGCTAGTGTTCAAATTCAGCATGAATTAGAGGATACATATACCTTATAAGTCCATGTGGGACAAAGTTGATTCACCCTCAATCTCAATGCCCAATTCCATGCCCCATGCAGATTGCTTCAGTCACAAACACTAAGCCAAACATGGGCTATAAGACATGAGGGGAGAGTTGCTGAGGATATCTTCGAAGACACATTTCTAAAAGAGGGTCACATGAACAGACCATCTCTTCTGTAGAAATTGTTGTGCTTGGATGTGACATTGGGAACTGCCACAAATTTCTTGTTAATACGCTGAGGTTAGCGCCAACCCTGAGACTAGCAGCAAAGAAAGATGGAAAGAACTTGGCTCTCTGATGACATCACTGAGCCCTCAATCAACCAACTGTGAAGAATCTATTCCAGAACTTTCTGCTATTCTACCCACTGTCTTTGTTCTTTAGTCAACATTGGATTGCCGTTTTCTGAGTCCTGTAGTCAAGAGCATCCTAGTCTTTCCACCTGCCCATCATTCATGCCGCCCTCCTACATCCCTCACTATCATCTTTCTTGCCCATAATCAGTAACAAAAGAGGATGCTGCCACTCACCTTGGCAAAACCTGCAGCTCCTTTACTCATGCCCCTCTTGCCATCCCTTTATGGAAATGACAGGTAAATAATGTACCCAATAGGCTGTCCTTACATGCATAAAAGTTGTTCAGTCATTGATCCCCTGGCATTACAAATTGCTGGGGTTCTGTGTTTGGAAGTGTCTCTCACAAGCTGAAGAACTCATCTGGGCAGGTAATGAGGGGCTAAAGTAACTAAGCACAGATCACTCACCCTCTCTGCTTAGCTGAGCTTGTTTTTACAGTACCTCATTGGTAATAAAGAAAAGCAAGAAATTGGAGCTCAGAGGTCTGGGCCAAGACTGGCTATGCTGCAATTCATTGGGAAGCATAGAGGAAACTGAGAGAAGGGCAGCTTGAGCTGACTTCATGGAGGGACCAAAAGGGGAAGAGTGAAGGGAAATTAGTATTTATGGAGCACCAAGGTGCCAGAAACTGCTCCAGAAATGCATAGAAGGTTAAGTTAAATGATAATAAAGTAATAGTAGTCCGATGGTTAATTTTAGGTGTCAACTTGACTAGATTAAGGGATAGCTAGATAGCTAGCAAAGCATTATTTCTGAGTTATCCGTGAGTTCATTTCTGTGAGTCAGTGGATTGAGGGGAAGATCCACTCTCAATGTAGCCAAGCACCATTGCATTAGCTAGAAACCTGGAGAGAACAAAAATGCAGAGGAAAGGTGCATTTGCTCTTTCCAGGAGCTGGGACCCCATCTTCTCTGGTCCTTGGACAACAGAACTCCAGGTTCACTGGCCTTTGCACTCTAGGACTTGCACGCATAGCCCTCAGGTTCTTAGGTCTTGGGCTTGGACTGAGAGTGACATCATTAGCTTCCTGGTCCTGAGGCTTTCGGACTTAGACTGAGCCACACTACCAGCACCTCTAGCTCTCCAGGATGCAAACAGCTCTAGTGGGACTTCTCAGCCTCCATAATTGTGTGAGCCAGTTCCCTTAACCAATCTCCTCCCATCTCTCCCTTTCTCTACTACTTTCTTTTTTTAAAAAATAATTATTTATTTTATTTTTATTTATTCATTCATTGATTTTTTAATTTGACCAGAGAGAGACAGAGGGTGAGAGTGAGAGAGAGAGGAAATGAGAAAGCAAGCCACCAGGTCCAGGACTTGAACCCCAGTTGGCCATGTGGGAGTGTCCAGCGCCTTAACCACCACACCACCTGCTGGTCCCTCTACTACTACTTTCTCTACTCAATAATCCACATGGAAATCCTGCCAAACAAGTATTATTATTATGTCTGTTTTACAGATAAGAAAATTAAGGCATGGAGAGATTAACTAGCTTGTCCAGGGCTACACAGCTGGTAAGTGTGTAACCAGGCAGAGTGACTCCAGGAGCTCACACTCAGCCAGTAACTTATAATGCTTCTAAAAGAGTGTGTGTGCTTAGCACCTTACATGGCACATAGCAGTACACATAGATATTATGTATATTAACTGTTGGATGGATGTTGTAATACAAAGAGATTTGTACCTCCTTCATTTATTGACTACGTTGTTCAATGAATCCTCAGTCTAAGTGCTAGTCTCCTCATACAGATGAGGAAATTGACTCTCATAAAGGTTAAAGAAGATTACATAATGGGTGTATGAAATAACTGTGATTTGAACCAGGCATCTGACTCCAAAGAGTACACTTTTTCACTATAGTCTCTCCTCCTGTCTGGAAAGTATTTGGCAGGAACTGTTTGCACTAACCTTTATTTAGTCACTCAGGTTGTATTTATTCAGTGCCTACCATGTCCCAGATGCCAAAAATGCCTTCATGGACAAAACAGACAGACGTCTACTATTTAGGATTCTTGTCTTTCTTTTCTTTAGAGGAGGGAGACAGACAATAACTGGATCAATATACAAACTGTCTGGTGGTAGAAACGGTATGAGAAAGAATTAAGCAGTAAGGGAAATGCTGGGCAGGACTTGCTGCCATTCCTGTTAGGGAATTCTAATAAGAGCTCATGTGAGCAGGTTGCTCAGACACAGGGGTGGGTGTGCCACCCACTCACCTCAGGACAACATTCTAGGGAGAGGAACATTTTCATTTCCTAACACCACAAATACCACTAACTGGGTGGCTTTAAGCAACACAAGTGTGTCTTCAAGGACGAGAAGATTCTTTCCTTCCTCGTAGAGTGGGGACTTTTCTAGAATAAGGGTCTTTGACTTATTTTCAGAAGACAATAAAGCTATGGCCTGCTTTAGGGGAAAGGGGATGAAAGAAATTATGTCTAGTTTCTATGATCTTCTGCTGTTTCTTTTAAAACCTAGGTGCCATATTTTGGGGTGACATGTTCTCAATCTCATCAGTCATCATACATTTTACTCCTACATATAACAGAAATTCCATAGTACAGTGTTACTTTTTTCCTTCATCAGTCAGTTGTCACTTAGAGGTATTTTTAAATAAGAAAAACATATTTTAGAGTATCACAAGTACCACTTTTGGTGCTTTTCATTTCCTTTGTGTAGCTCCAGATCTCAATGTGGTATAATTTTCCTTCTGTAAGAAATATTTCCTTTAACATTTCCTGTAGTTTTGGTATGTTTGTAATGATTCTTTCCACTTTCTTTCTCTGAAAATGTTATATTGTCTTCATTTTTTTGAAGGTTATCTTTGCTGGGTATAGAATCCAAGGTCAACAATGTTTTTCATTTAGTACTTTAAAGATGCTGATCCACTGTACTTCAAAGCTTAAGCTTGCTATCATTCTTCTCTTTTTTCCTCTATGCATAACATGTCTTTATGTTCTTGCCAATGATAAGACTTTCATTTTCTCACTAACTTTTTTAAAGAATTATTTTATTTAACATTATTATTATTATTATCTGACCAGAGAAAGACAGAGAGAGGAGAAGTGAGAAAGCAAGCCACCAGTTCTGGGACCCAAACCACAGTCAGCCATGTGGGAGTCCAGCATCCCTAACCACCACGTCACCTGCTGGCCCCATTTTATTTCTAACTTTAAGTAATTTAATTATGACGTGAGGTGGTGTCAGTTTTATCATGTTTTTTGCTGATAATCACTGAATTTTTTTTAATCTGGATGTTCATAGTTTTTAATAAATTTGGAAAACTTTCCGCTGTTATTTCTTTAGATACCTTTCTCCTATCACTTCCCTGCTACTTCTGGAACTCCAATTATTCATCTATTAGGTTGCTTTAAGTTGCTCGCCCTGCCTTCCTTTCTGTCTCTCTCTCTCTCTTTTTGCTATAGGGCACATGTGCTCATCAGTTTTTTAAAGAGAGAGGGAACATTACAAAGGAAGGATGGCCACGCTGAAATCCCTTCTCCTCCATTCTCCTTTCAGGATTTTGGACATATGTACACATGCACCCGGTATGATTTTTCTAGCCCTCAGGTCTGAGACTCAAACCATGGTTGGTCATATAGGAGTTCAGTGCCTTAATAACCATGCCACCTGCTTGCCCTTGTTCTTCTTCCTTCCTCCCACCCCATGTGTTTTTATTTTATAGTAATATAAACTATCTTCAAAAGTGTGCCCTGAGTCATTACTCTTTTCTTCTGCATTATGTAATCTATTATTTATCCCTTTCAATATATTTTTTTTATCTCTGACATTGTATAGGAGTCTGATTTTTTTATACACCTTCCATGTCTCTCTTTAATATGACTATGTTTTTCTATATATTGTTAAATATGTAAACTATAATTATACTAGCTGTTTAATTTTTTACACGTCAATTAATCTACTAGTAGGCTATTAGTCTTGCCTAATACTTCTGTCAACTGTGTCATTTCCGGGTCTGCTTTATGTTTGTTTTTCTTTTAGTTTTATGTAACTTTTTTGTCTTTTTTTAGAATTATTTTATTTAACTTCATTTATTTATTTATTTTTAATTTGACTAGAGAGAGAGAAGGAAGGTGAGAAAGCAAGCCACCACGTTTAGGACTAGGACATTGATTGGCCATGTGGGAGTCCAGCACCTTAACCACTATGCTATCTGCTGGCCTTCTCTGGGTCTATTTTTATTGACTAATCTTTCTCTAAATCATAGTTTTATTGTGCCTTTTTATGTGTCATGATTTTGTTTTGGTAAAGTTTGTGATTGTTTTTATTATTTTCTAGAAAAAATTCTTAATTTTGCCTTGTTAAATACTGGAAATTTTTATATTCTTATAATTTTTTCAAGAAAGCAGGCAAATGCAGTCCCTGCTCTTCCATTAATGCCAAAAGTGAAGTCTCAGGCTTTGTGTTACATTGAGACTCTTTTACTGTCTAGGTCAGCTGGAGATGAAGAACATTCTTTTTCTCAAATCCAGTAAGTTCCCTCTACATTTTGTTGGCTAACTAGTCACTTCCTTCTTTAGCTCATCTCTTTCTTATAGCACCTTATCAAATTCAGTTAGTAACAGCCATCTGATCTTTTTGATAGTCTACCTGAAAATCTCATTACTCAGATCCATAAATTAAGTACTTTTATCTGCCAAATCTCAGACAAAGGTCTTACCAATTACTTCACCAGACATAATATGGTTCACCTTTTTTTTTTTTGCAAACTGCAGTAGCAATTTCTTTATTATCTTTTCTAGCTTCCACTTACTTTCTAACCCTGAAACTAATGTTATATACATTAGGGTTAGTTTTAATTTTTTTTTTTTTGGTTTGGTTTATGATAGCACCTGATTTCTAGACATTGAAATGTGTAGTCATTGTTACAATAGTGCTCCATAACACATTGCCCCAAATTTAGTTTGCTTTGAACAGCATTTACTTATTGCTTCTGCCAAGTCCATAGGCTGGCTGAGAAGTTCTGTTTTTCTGGGCTAGGCTTGGTTGATCTTGTCTGGACTTGCTCAAGCATCTGCTGGGAGCTGGATATTCTAAACCATCCTTGACTAGGATAATCTGTCTATTCTCCCTATGTCTCCCAAATGCTTCCAGCAGGCTGGTGTAGTCATGTTCTCATGACCAGAGACCAGCCTTGGCATTTCCTTATGACACAAAGTAGGATTCTAAGAGAGTTAACAGAAACAGCATGTTTTCGAGCCTCCTCTTGAATATGCTTCTAACTCCCACATAAGTCACGTGGCCAAGCCTGCAGTCAGTATGAAAACACATTAACAAAGGGTGTAAAACAGGGAGGCATGGGAAACTAGGAACAGTAATGCAATCAGTCTACCTACAAAGTAGATGCACAGGGGTCTTCAAAAAGTTTGTGGGAAATGTGTATTATGAAAAAACTATTTGTGGATTTTCCTTTTTTTTTTTCTGGTACCAGAATAAGCTCATATTTTAACTTCATTTTTCCATGAGCTTTTTGAAGTCCCTTGTGTTATTGTCATCCCCATTTTCCAGATAAGAAATTGAGATACGGCAAAGTAAAGTGTTTTGCTCAGGGGCTCAGCCCAAGTGTGGTGGAGTTCGGGTTTGAATCAGGTGATTTGGCCAGGCAGTCCCTGTGGGCTGTACGATGGCTGGGAATAGGCCCAGGGCATCTTGGGAGCCTCCAGCCTCCCTGGGTAATAATCGTTCAGGTGCTTCTTGGAGCTCTCCGAGAAGGGCTTGCTCATCACCTCCCTATCTCAGCCAGTGGCCTCAGACGTAGCAGCCACAGATCTTGGAAGTCTAGCTGCCAGTGGTCAACAGGGGACGCCCTGACTGATCCCCGTTTCCCGGGCCTCCACTACCTGAGGTCGCACAGTGAAGCCTTTCACGGGTTAAAGACAAGGAAAGGAGAAACAAAAGAAGGAATAAAGTCAAGAAATGTGCCATGAAGCTTCTTGCAGCGCAAAGCAGAGAAAGTCATTTCCAACTTCTTTCATCTCGTAGATGAAGCCACTAAATAAAGGGGCAAAGCGGCGAACACAAGGGCTTTTAATCTGTCTCATCTCCTTCATAATAACTGCAAATTTTCCCTGGGCCCCTGGGAGTGAGCCTCTTCCCTCTGCTCTGCCTCATCTCCCCCTCCACATTTCGCCGGCGCCGCGCCGCCCCCCGCGCGCGCTGCCCGGGCCGTCCCGGCGAGGCCTGGGGGAGCCCGCGCTCCCCGCCTCATTGTTCCGGCGGGCCCGGGGCTCGGAGGAGGGATGAAGGCCAGTCAAAGGGACGCGGGCTCGCCGCGGCTTCATTAACGCCTTTCAGCGGCGCGCATATCAGAGCGAGGCCTTTTCAGAGGCGCTAATTAGCAATTTGGAGCCTTCCCCCCTCTGGAGAGGCGCCTTCAATCTAACAAGTGGGAACAGCGCTGCGCTCCCTTTTTTCTTACACTTAATATTTATTGTTTTCCATTTTCTCCCTCTCCTTCTCTGCCCCTCCCAACCAGCTACATTGTCCAGCTCGGCGCCTCCAGATAAGGCCTAGGGGGCCGGAGGAGCGATAGAGAGGAGGGTGCATCGTTAATCACTCTTTTAATTCTCGGCTAATGATAACTTTCTCTCCCGCACTGAGAGAAGTTAATCTTTCTTGGATATTGAGAGAATGGGGAGCATTGGGATGTAGTGGGTTATGGGCCGAACCCAGAGGGTGGAGGTGTCTGAAGGGCCCTTACTGATCCTCTCTTCCCTGATCGGATTCTCCAGTTTCCCTGCCTGACTTGTTGACATTACAACCAGATTCTCTCTTTCTCCCTGCCCTTCCACCCAGCGGCCGCGTTCCCCTCTTGTAAAGATTCAGCTTACTTTGGGAGTTCAACTTAGAGGCTATCTCCTATGTGAACTGATTCTGATTGTCCTGGCTGCATTTTTCCTCCTGCTCCCTTTGAAATCCCCTAACACTTGTCACACACCGCTATTCCAGTAAGAGAATTCTGCTCACAGTATGGTTGTTTACCATTCAAGTGCAAAGACCACCAGATCTGAAAAATGTCTGTACCCTCTGCAGGTCCAGTGTACAAGTGAATGTTCAATGAATGGATCAATGGATCAACAAATTTCGACTGCAGTATGGACTTTTAAATTTAAAAAAAAATTCCATTTACTTTATCAAACATTTAAATAGCATTTGCTACATACCAGGTACTAAGTACTCACTAAATTCACTTTTTTTTTTAAAGATTTTTGCCATAGGGTGTGTACTCACAAGAGAGAGACAGATAGAGAGGGAAAGTGAGAAATCACCCCCCACCCCTACCCCAGGAGGGCTGGTCACACACAGTCCCTTCTCCTCTCAGGATTTGGGGCACACACACAACACACGCCCAGTGTACACTGCGTGGAGTCTGGGACTGCAGTCAGTCGTGTGGAATTCACCATGCCATCTGCTGGCCCATAATGTTCACTTGCTTAATCTTCATAACAAACCAAGAAGGTAGATGCAATCTCCATTTTACAGAGGAAATCAAGAAACAGGGAAGTTAAGTAACTTGCCTATGATTACACAGCAGTTAAGCAGCAAATTCAAACCCAACCTGTTAGGCTCCAGAGTCTGTGTCCACTTGGTCAGGATGCGGTGCTGATTGCCATGGAGGCCCCTAGTTCTCTGCCTCAGCAGAGGAACGGGCTCAGAGGCAGGCCCATGATGAGAGTCCAGGCAGGTGTGAAGGCAGCTAAGCCTGCACTCACCTGGAAAGCCCACAGGACAGTCAGGCCTGACACCTGACTACTGGCCACGAAAAAAGTGAGCCCTATTGGCAGTGGCCTAAGCTCTGAGTCTCTGGACGCTGCCTGTGACCCCCCCTGGGTAACCTGTCCTCCCTTCTCACCCCAGGCCCACTCCACTCACTGAGGCAGCAGGAGCAAAATTTCCAACAAACTCCGGGTTCTGCTCTACAGAAGTGAGTGGAGTAGAGTGCCCTGGAGAGGGAGGGAGGGCTGAGAGCCTCTGAAAATCCCCTCCGAATTATAAACATATCCTCTTTAAGTACATTTCTAAGGATAACATTTGTATTACTCTGTCCTGTGCCTGCAGATAGAGCCCGCTTATCTCCTCCATCTCCCCTCCTTTCTCTCTGCTCTGCTGGGAGCCGTCCCTATCTGAAGCCACGCTGGCAATCCACTTCCCCGCAATTGTTTCGATCGAGGGGAAAAATTAATTTCTGCCTATCGTTAATTGAGAGAATTGTGTGGAGGGCGAGGGGAAGGGAGGGGGGAGGAGAGCAAGGAAGGAGGCGGAGGGGAGCAATCGTGTTATTAACCGTGTCCCTTTCATAAGCAAATATTCTGATTGCCATCAGTGAGATGAGAGGCTCATTAATGCAGGAAGCAGAGAGGTGATTAGAGAACTTTCAAGAGCTATTGAGCTAAGCAGGAGGGAGGGTTGCAGGGATCTGGAGGCCAAGGGAATTTGGGAAGGACTGGGCTGGCAGAAATGCCACTGGACTTCATGATGGGCTCTCCTGCTCTCCTCACCTTCCTCAGCACCTCTCCCCAGTTCTCACTGCCAAACAGTTCCCAAAGCCAGCAGCTAGAGTTAGGAAGAACTCAAAGAAGTGAAACTTGGCAAAAGTCAAATCTCCTTGAAAGATGCTTCCCCCCATGCTAAACTGGCAGCCCACAGGTCAAATGTTCTAGCTTCCAATCATGTCTGTCTAACGTGTGTTTTTAAATCATGGACTTGCTTTTCTTCTCTGATGTGCCGGTGTTCACCAGTTCCTGATTTTTGTCCCCATCCTACCTCACTTGTTTATGTCCTTGCCTGGTCCTGACATCTTTGAGGAGGCAGCCCCTGGTCATGCTGAGGTTGCAAGAGCTGAGAACTGCTGGAAGCTTAGGTATTGGGCATCAGGAGAATGGGGTGGTGATGGGGAGGAGATGGGCGTGTGGGGTGGCGGTGGAGTGGATATTATAGGTACACTTCACACTCCCCAGGCCCACCTCTGACTTCCCCCAGCTGTGCGGATCAGCGCCATGGGAACTCACTGTAACTCAGTGCATCTCAAGAAGGAACCTCATCTTTCTCCCCAGTTTTCTGCTCCAGGACCTTTACCAAGGAGAAAGTGCTCAGCAGCAACCTCCCTTCCACTTCTCCCTGCCCCCCAGCACACACACACACACACACATACACACACACACACATACACACACACACACATACACACACACACACATACACACACACACACATACACACACACACACATACACACACACACACATACACACACACACACACAATCTCTGCCCCCCTCCCCACCCCACCCTCCGCACACACACACAAGCACCAAGCACGGAGGAGGAATATGAGGGAGTTTATACCTCCTTACTGAGTGCAGAACAGGAGTTTGTGGAGAAACAGCCTTGGCTCCCCAGAAGGAAACTCTAGGGTTCATTCTGTATGCAGCTCAGAGAGCCTGGTGAGTCAAGCCTCTCTGCCTATAACAGGTTTCTTGAAAGTAAAGTCTTTTCTTGACTTTTCTTTCTTACTGGACTCACTCCCCCGCACCCCTTCTCCTGCGTCCTGCTGCCATCTGGAGTGGTCAGGTTCTACTTTCAGGATCTCCATGATCTCAGTACCAAGGGTCAGAGATCATCACCAGAGAGAGTGGCAAGGACGCCATCAGAGACTATGGCTCCATGTGGCTCTAGGGAGCAGCAGGCGCTGCAGACAGGGGCCTATGTAAGGGCAAGATAGCCAAGACTAGGGGCTTTGGAAGCTACAGGTTGAGCTCAGGTCCTGAAACAATGCCACAGGGAAGCAGAGAGGAGGACTCCTAGAAACAGGTACTCTGTGTGCACTGGTCCAGGAGAGCTATGGGTGTGGCCCTGTGGCAGCACTGCCCAATGACCCACTTCCCAGGCGGTGGCCAGTCACTGCCCCAGGGCTCCAGGTGCTCCAAAGACTGCACAGCCATGTTTAGGTGCTCCCAAATCCCTCCTGAACTTCTCTCTCAACCGTGGGGATGGTAGATGCCCATGACACATGGGAACCCTGCCTGGCTCTTCCTCGCATCCATTCCTTTCTCTCCAGAATCTACCCCATGTCTGTTTTCAAGGTAAGATGCTCCCAGCTGAAGGCACAAAAAGAGGCAGAAGAATCAGAGAGGGAGACAAGTGACACAGGACTCGGGGACAGGGAGCAATGAGTGTTTTATCCCCCCCCAGCCCCCACACCCAAGAGGCAACTCAGTTCTCTACCAGGAGCCAAATGTTTCCTCCCCACACATTCTGACTTCAAAAATAGGAGCACATCCACCAAAGAGACCAAGATCAAAAAGAAGCCGGAAGAAAAGCAGGAAAGAAAAGAAGAGAAGAGAGGGAGAGGCACTAGGAGATTTTCAGAACAATCTCTATTCTCTACAGTGCTTTCTGTTTTAAAAAAAATGAAAAAAGGAATGATGGAGAAGGGGAGAGAGTCAGACAAGTTTAATGATGTGTGTTCAAAGCTCAGATTGGAAAAATGACAGAGAAAAGCAGCCTGTTTCGGCACTAATAAATTGTTCTCTGCCGTAAGAGGCGCCTGTCGCGGCATTAATACAGGCCCCTAATACACGGGTCAGGGTTAAGTAATTCTCTCCGGCAACTTAAGCGAATAATGAAGCTGGCAGCGGCTGGTGGTGCGGTGGGAGAGATGGTCTATGCCGCCGGCACTTTGTCTTCATTTATTATGCCAGCGGCGGCACGGACGGGAAGCCTCCGCAGAGGAGATATCGCTTCATTTCGGCAAGGTAATGAAAGCCGGGTTGGGGGGAGGATAAACCAATTTGCCGGCTGACACTGGAAGGAGTGATTTGCGGACTCAAGAAGGGGAGAGGAGGACCCAAGCACAAGGAAGCATGAGGCTAAACCAAAGTGGTCCAAGGCCCTCCCAAGGGGCAGTCCTGG